GACTTGCAGCACATTCACTGTTCTTCAATAAATATCCATCTCCGTGTTCTTACCTACCACTAATTGCAAGGTAAATTATCCTTCTTTCAGTGAGACTGCCCTGGTGTACACATACCTGAATTACCTCACCTCAAAGTGTGTGTAATTCTGCTGTAACAGCTGACTCACAGTGAATTGTTATTCTGCAACACATTTAAGCCTTTCTACTTTGAATCACTTGCACACTTTGAAGCTTCAACCGTTATGTCATGCTGTAAACTAAGCTTTTACCCAGCCCAGGGTCTTTTGAGCATTTCTGTATTTTTATCTGTTTGTGCCTGACATCCGGACATATAAAAAAGCATCCAACCTGGCCGTCCTTCCGCTACTCCATAGGTTGGGTCGTATCAAACCCTTCCCTGGCAGCTGCAAAGCTGATAGGAAGCAGCAAAACTTCCACTGTGGATTATCAGAAACACTACAGAGGCATTGCTTAATGCATCTGATATCTAAGCCTGGATAACAGAAGCCATACAGCCAAGCAAAAAAAGATTGGCAGCTATTGCAGGAATTCAGATAGGGGCACCTTGGTAAAGGAGGGGGGAAAATGCGTTTTCTTCCATTACAGAGCCCGGGGCTGAGATGGATTCTCTCTCCGTCATTGTCCTAAGCACATTATCCCTGAAAGAAAAAGGGTTTCTCTGAATCTGCAATTTTTCTAGGCTTCAGTGTTATTGAAATGAAACTGCTTCAAGGATATCTACATTCTTTACCATCATATGGATTCTCATCTCATGTAAATTATTTGGCCACTTTTCATTTTAATCCTCCACTGTCATTTCCCACAAAAGAGATCATTTGGTTTCTTCATTGAAGGTATTCAGCTGACAGCTGCCCTTTGTCTAGAAAGCAGTGTGCCTTTGCAGGATTTATTTCTTGTGCCTGCTCTTTTTATTTTCCTTTTTTTTTTTTTCTTTTTGCCTTTTTCCCCCCACTTTTAAGTTCACATTGCTTTATATTTTTCATCTTTATTTTTTAGGAACTTTTCAGATGGTGAACAGGCTGTTTGTAGCTATGAAGAGCATGCTCTGTTCTTTCCCTTAGCAAAGGTATACCTGGCTGGTAAGAAACAGAACTGGAGGCATACTAATTAAATTTCCTGCTTGCAAGGAGAACTGTAGTCAAAAAAATCGCTGTGTTTTCACAACTTCTACTTGAGCAAACTGAAACAGTCAATGATGATTTCTTTTTCCATGACTTCCCTATCTTGAAAACTCAGTTATTCTCCCTTCCTTTCCAGAAGTCTTGGAAGACTTTAAATTTTATGCTTTGTGTCATGGTGTATCACCCACAAATCATAGAATCACAGGATGGTTTGGGTTGGAAGGGACCCTAAAGATCATCTAGTTCCACCCCGCTGCCGTGGACAGGGGCACCTTCCACTAGACCAGGTTGCTCTAAGTCCCATTAGGACATTGAAATAAGTGATGAGAATTAAACATTACATGTTGGTTGTGTGCATTTTGAGGCAAACTGTGAGGCTGAGCATGAAAATCAGTTCTTACTGTTGAGGTTGCATGGTTTTGATTATCTGTAGCTACATGAGACCTTTTCCTTTCAGACTGAAAACTCCTGAGTATCATCTCTTCCCTGATAAAACCAGCTTACACTCTGTCAAAGGTTAAAAGCACAATGTGGTGATGGAGAAGTATAGTATCAGGAGGAGATACAGTTTTGGGGAGCATGAGTTGCTGGTTGAACAAGTTTACAGGCAGCTTGAATCTGTGGGGGAAGGAGGAAGGAAGCATGTCATGAATGTGGATAAGGAGTAAGAGACAGGTTCTAAAATTACTGTGTCAGCTACAGAAACTGAATTTAACAACTCCGATAGTGCCCTTCCAGCTCTCCTCTGGTACCTGCTTAGCTTTGTGATTTCCATTAAAATTTCTTACTTACCAGGAGAGCTGCCTGAAAACTCAAATTTGGGGCAGGCTGGGGTTTTTGTTTTATCTTTTTCAGGGTTTTTTGTTTGTTTGTTTGTTGTTGGTTTTTTCTTCAGAAAACGGGGTTTCAGGGTGAAAAGAAATTCAGGTTTTCAAGTGGGAATCACTTTTCATGTAGAAATTTTGGGACATTTACATTAAAAAAAATAATGTTGGGATTAAAGTGCTTCAGAATGATGAAAACTATGTTTAAAATGTGTGTAGCTTATTCAGTTGTAAAATGAGTTTAAAGTTACCATTTCAGCAACAAGTTTTTTCAGAATCACAAAAACGATTGGACTACAGTCGTTCGTTCCCAGGAGAGGTGTCTCATTCATTGTCCAGTTCTGAAAGTTAGCTCCGTCACAGGGAAGTTTCCTGCTACCTCAGAGGACTGTAAACCTAAGCCTAATTTTTGTTGCTTTAGAAAATTTGAGCCTTGTTGTTAGACTCAGCAAAAGTGTACAGCAGTCTGTGCTTGCTAGAAGGGGATGGTATTTAGTTATGTGCCAAGAAAAGGATCACGCTAGTGGCTCTTATCTTTTCTTGCATCAACATAAGAATGGGCAGTTAAATTATATATGGTTCCTTAATTTTACATCTTTTGTCATTTCTTCCATAAAGTTAGGCATTGTCTAGCAACTTGGGGACCGCAGATGATCTACATCCATAATATCACATGATACCATGTTTTACCTTCTGGTTTTAGTACATCACTGTGTAGATCCGTCAGGTTTCTAATTCCTAGTTTCTTTTGTGGTATTTGTTCTTGATTTTTTGACAAGTATCTGTAAATAAAATAAATAAGATTCATCAAAGGGAAGCAATAAAATAGCTGTTATGGCTACCAGAATTTGCCAAATTAATTTTTGTACACATAGTGATGACCTGGGTACTTGAATAGGACTCCAGGTCATACAATATATTTGTGTGAATAGTAGCGCAGTTTTCAGCTGTGATGTCTTGACTTTTTTGTTCCTTTATCTTATGGCACTTATGAGGAAATAGTTCATGGCTACGGGCAGAAAGTGGAGTGTTCTATTTTGTAGGTGAGAGAGATGAGACACTGTCATGGGGCAGTTGGACTGGGGTCCTGAGCTTCTGCTTCCATCACGAACTACTAGAAAATGCATTTTCTGTTCTGTTTATCAAGCTCTCCGAAAAAAATCTTTGTAGAGAACATGACCCCTTCGAACAGATTTTTTTGAGTAAAGATAGACACACATATCACTTTGAAGGCTTATAATAGTAGAAAGGATAATATGTCTGGAAGAGGAAAGAATATACTTTAAAAAATACCATGTGCAGAGACTGGGACTACTGCTGGGAGGGGAAAAGGGAGGCGGAAAAGAAACTCTCTTGCTGATAATTCAGCAAGCATTCCTGTTGGTAACAGTGCCAGACTTGACAGCACTATGTACTTGAACCTTCCCAGAAAGTGAGTGTAACCAGACATCCTTGTCTTCAGATCTAATGGCAAAATCTCAGCTCCTTTTTCAGAGTAGGAGCAAGTGTAGTGGGAGTTGCAGTTATGGTCATTCTCTCCAGATTTACTTCATAAGAGTAACTTGGAGGTCCAGGGAAGTAGTAGTTGATGTTCACATGTAAATGCAGTTGCCTTCGAAGCCCAAATTGGTAGTATAGACGTAGCCTGCACTTCAATTTGTGAAGACAGATCTATTTCTGCGGTTTCATTTGCTCTCTAAGCTGGCAAATCAAGTGGACATACATTAACAGTTTAACTAGCAGTCAGTGTATAGAGACTTTGAAATAGGACCTCATTTGTTAGTATAGTTGCAACTGTAGGTAACACTGTGACCAACAGGATGAAGTAGTAGCTAAAATGCATACTGAATGTTCAGAGGAAGCATGGACAGAAACAGTTGCTACATGGAACAGATTGCAGGTTTCTGTAGAAAGTAACTGTGCTGGGGTGATACACTGGAGGAGAACTATGACCATGGAAAATAATAATTGCCTAAATATGCATGAATCTCCTAGTACCAAATGATCTGAGGAATAAGGAAATATCTTATTTGAAAAGCTGGAGCAGCTGTCCAACAGCTGAACCTGCTGCTCTTCAAAGTTGATCAAAGAATTCCTAGGATTGTGTATTATGGACAATCTACAAAAAAAAATAAAATAGTAGTCTCTTCTTATGGCGTGCTTATCAGAGTCCATTGAAGTAAGCAGGACTTTTTGTTGGTTTTAATGCAAATCTGATAAGCTCTGTAGAATGTAAATCAGTTCATTAAAATTTGTAAAGCACTTAAATGAAATAAGAGAGAAAACAGTTTAACTTTTATAGGGTGTTTACTGCATATAAAGTACAATAAAATCATGATTATTCAGAAAAAAAATACTGTTGGAATATGCTATGCTCTGTGTTGTTCTGGGAAAGATTTAAAATTTTTAAATTGTGATTTAAAAACAACAAACGTACCTGACTCTAGAAATCTTACTGTATTACTGTGTAATTTAGGCTGTGGAATCTTCAGACCATATCTGTTTAAAGGATGCACTATTTGTGTGTGTTTGTATGTGTTATATATATATGTATGTGTGTATATATTAACCCAGGGATCGACATAAATATTGAACAGCTCCTTTATTTGTAGGATGCTGCCTAACCTGGGGTATGTCAGGGTAAAAAACCAAGTAAATGATAATAAACAGAGGCAGAGGCATGGCCTATGATGTCTTCTGACATGATGCTTCTGCTTCACTTGACAGTCATAATTCACATATTTGTAGCATTGCCAACTGTGTTATATCTCCTAGTGCAGTATTCCAAATGCTGAGGTGACACTGCAGATACTGAGATAATATTTATTTACCTGAGGCATTTGGGAAGGTTTAGCCACGTGATGGATATGAATGCATGCACATAATACCTTGTGCATGTACAGGTTTACATAAAATTTGCTGCATCTGTGCATAAACTACCAGTTGACACCTTTAATGAAGCTGCTTTGGAGCCTTCATGCTCTTTATTTCTGATAAAAATTACCAACCTTTTTTTTGTTTTCCCTGTTGCAGTTACTTCAATGAGAATCAATATCCAGATGAGGCAAAGAGAGAAGAAATTGCAAACGCCTGTAATGCAGTTATACAAAAGCCAGGTGAGCAGCTGATCATGGTGTCCTTTCCAAAGGCAACTGCAATTAGATTTCAACATCTCCTGCTAAATTCAGCAAATCTCATTTTATGGCTGTTGCTAACAAATGCACTGCTCTCAACTAGTAGTGGGCTTTTTCGTGAGCAGTCTATGACTCATGTTGTTCAGAGCTGCTGTACTGGGATGAACGTGACAGCCAGTTCAAGTTTCAAACCTAAATGCTGATGTCTGCAACTTAAATTCCCACCATTTCAGATACGAAGTACAAGTTGTGCATCTGAACCTTTCATTTATGCAGCTTGGTAAATGGCATTGCTAACAAAATAAACATGTCTGGAAGGATTTCATTCTTTATGTTCAGTTATTTCAAAGTACTTATCTAAGCATTCAGTAGCAATCTGAGAATTTTACACTCCACAAAACTGTGTTTTACTGATTCCTTTTTACAGATGGGAAATTTTAGGTTCAGAGGCTGAGGCTTGCTGGAGGTTATAGAGCAGGTCATCAGAGGAGAAAGGAGCACAGCTTTCCCAGCTTTCAATTTTCTTTACAGCTTGTAGACAAGGGTGTTATATTAGAATCTGTGTACTAATAGAGGAACTTGGATTTGGGTAAAAAAAAAAAAATTGCATTTTTTGTGTTGTTTGTCATACTTAAGAGAGAAGACAGTCTGAGAGGGCTTTGGTTGTTCAGCCTGGAGAAGGCTCCAGGGAAACCTTAGCGCAGCTAATGGAAGGGCCTTTGAGCAGCCTGGTTTAGTGCAAGGTGTCTCTGCCTGTGCAGAGGGATTAGAACTGGATGAGCTTTAAGGTCCCTTCCAACCCAAACCATTCTATGATTCTGTTAGAGACACGAATATTCAGTGTAGTATTAGTGAATACACCTGCATTCACTTAGGTTTTCTAACTGTACGTTTACACAGTTTTCAGAACTTCTGTTTTGGATATTTCAATTTTACATAGCCAGAATAAATATTAATGCAAAAAAAAAAAAAAAGGCTAAGACATGACTCCTGGACACTGGTACAGTCACAGAACAGCACAGAATCATAGAACAGTATAGGCTGGAAGTGACCTGGAGTTCACCTGGTCAGGCAGAACCAGTTAGGTTCAGTTGCCCAGGGCTTCACCTTGTTCAGTTTTGAATATCTCCTAAACCAGAGGTACCTCTGAGCCCCCATTCCATGATGTTGAGCCACTCTCATGGCAAAATACTTTTTCCTAATACCTAGTCAAAATTTCCCTTGTTGCAACTTGTATGCATTGCCTCTTGTCTTTACCAGAATGATCTGTCTGGTAGAGGTTGGGATTTTATTCTTGGCTGTGCTGCTGATTGGTTAAGTAACTTGGAAAAAACCAGTTTGAACACACTGTGTCTCAGGATCAATAAAATCTTGTGAGTGGTGCTGATGCACAGCATTAGTAAACAGCATAGCTGTCTGTTTCCAGATTTTAATTTCACTTGTCTCATCTCTCCTTACCTATTTAAGTTTTCAGATTGCTGCAATTACATAAATGCTTTGTATGCTGAATAAATGAACTATTGAGAGACAGTCTGAAGTAGGGGAGTCTCATCCCCACATAGCCTGAAGAGGACTGAGGATGCAGCTACATCCAATATTTTAGATAAAGGCAAGGCCAGCTGAAGAGGTTTCCACTATGTGCTTGCATTCCCTCTTTTCTGTTGGTGATCAGCTGGTGATTTCTTGTAGCTGGCTGGTGGTGGCTGGCATTTTTTTGCTGGTTTAAGCATAAAAACTCCAGCAATCAGGTTTTCAACATCCACCCTCGTTCTCCCAAAAGATCGCAAGTGTCCTGGCACGTTTGGGAGGCTGTGATTAAAGCTGCAGGAGCACGATAGCAGCTGGTGGTTTAGAGGAAGGAAAGCAGATTGGAGGGGATGACACAAAATTTCTTCATTCATTTTGCTACTGAAGAAAACTCGTCATTGGACTATATCCTTGTGGCACATACTAAGAGAACTAGCCCAGAGGTACACGATTTGTGATAGGGCTGTGAGTTGGAGTTTTTTGAATCTCATTTTTGTGCTTGAACTAGGAAAGCAGCCCTTTATTCTCTCTCCCACGGCTCTGGATTTAGTTGATTGAAGCTGCAAAGCAATTCCTGTAGTTCTGATTTTTTTTTATTTTTTTTTATTTTTAAAGAAGAAAGGCTACTTTGTTTTTAGAGAGATATTTGGTGTTTATTACCATAACATCTGGGCACAGTACTTTGATTCACATAAAATTCACTTTATTTTCAGTTATAAGCACTTTTCAGTGCAGTCTCTATTTCAGGGGTTTATCACATGTGTAATGGTCTTTTTGCCTGCCTCTGGAACCCAGTGAGTAACAATGCTGTATTTATTCCTCCTCCCCACCTCCCATTACTTTCATAGGGAAGAAGTTATCGGATTTGGAACGAGTTACCTCCCTTAAGGTGTACAACTGGTTTGCCAACAGAAGAAAGGAAATCAAGAGAAGAGCCAATATCGGTAATGTATCAGAGAACCTGTTTTCAAGGTTTAGTACTAATACTTGCTCAGGAGAGATGGAAATTACGTAAGATTGTATTAATGAAAATGCTAGATGTTCTGACATTCTTAGTAGAAATGTGGAGGAATTATTAAAATTAGTCTCTTGCTGTTCCAGATCTTTCCTGAAATATGGGTAGGAGTTTAATTTATAGAAATCCATCATCAATGCAGGAAAATGATGCTGTTAAGAAGTTTTACTGGAAGATCAGTTTTAAAAATGAAACAGAATTTGATGGTGGGAAGAGAATTGTATCTCTTTATTCTTGGGCTCCTTTGGGTATCCAAAATAAAATCTGAACTAAAACTTCAAAATACCTGCAGTGAAATATGGGAAATAAGGAATTTTGAGGCGATGGCAAGTGCACAATCTTGACATGCAGTTTAAATGAAAAGTGAATGTTGTGAAGAGCTTTTATCTGGTTGTAGGTTTCTTTCTGTCTGTGTTCCACTGAGGCCGTCTTTCTTACTGCCATCCCTGAGACCCCACAGGGATCTCAGAGTCCAGTGAGTTGTTCTATATCTCAGATGCAGCCACTACGACCTAAGGTTCTTCAAGCCAACTGCTTAGTTTGATAGTACTTGTCTTCCTTACTGCTTTCCAAGGGATTGCACAGGGACAAATGGCTAGAATAAAGTAGTAATTTTTCTCGATGATCAGGATAAAACAAAAGCCACTTCAGAGTTAGCCCTGCAGGTCCTTTGTGTGAGTAGCAGATTGTAAGGAAATTAGAAATGACTCTGAACTTGTAAAATGTACACCTTCTAATGTGAACAAACATAAGACATTCTGATGAGAATAAACTCACATTAGTGACCAGGAGCCAACAAAGTTTGGCAGTGAGTGCAAAATTTTATGTGCTTCCTTAGATACTATACAGAGTTACGTTTATAGTCCATAGATGAACAGAAATCTATACCTGTCTACTACCCAGTATTTCTGCAACTGCGGAATGTTGTGTCCTTTTCTTATCTGCTTTTTCTTGCCATATTTATGAACAAGAAAAGATTCTTTTTACAGCATTTAATGTGTTATTGAAATTTAACCTAAATTTATTTTTATGAAAATTAAATCTGTCAAGGAGTAGGGTGAACAAAGCAAAGTCAATCCAAGGTGGGTGAAGTTATAGCTGTATCTGTACAATTTGAGGAGGAGGGTTAGAAGGAGATCAAAAAGAACCAAAGGGAGCTTTAGATGCTTGGATCCTACTGGAAGAATAAGACGTGTGTTTTTAAATCCATTAAGGGCTTTAAAGAATTTCTCCATCTATCTTCAGACACTCCCTGTCCCCCTCAAATCCTGCCAGTCCAAACTATGTGGAAGATCTACAGGGAATGCTTTTGCCACTTCAGTGCATCAGACAGGCTGGAAAACGGGGATTCTTACTTGCAGTCAAGTCTGTTAGTTGGCAGGAAAGGACTTCAGGCAAAGCAGTATCTGTACATGTGCTACCTTCCCAAATACTGGAGAGTGAAGTGGAAAAGACTATGAGCTAACTTCCGTTTGTTCTAACTTCTTGGGGAAAAACAAACAAAAAAAATAGTAGTTGCTTTCAGTTACTCTAATGTATCAGATAAATTAGGGATCCATTTGCTTTTTTCGAAGAAGCAGCAATCCTGGAGAGCCATGGAATAGATGTACAGAGTCCAGGAGGTCATTCCAACAGTGATGACGTTGATGGCAATGACTACTCGGAGCAGGTAAGCACTGTGGCCGAGCTGCATGGCCCATAAAGGGGAAGTTCACTTGAAACAAGAAGAGGCTCTTAACCTCTCGCAAATCAAATGTCTCTTGTTGTTTTTCTTTTATGTAACTGTAATGGGGGAAGTGGAAGAGCACAGCTCCCCTATTTGAATGTGTTGAAGCAACCAGTATTCACCCACATGGATTTATTGTCATACAACAGGACACTTGGCAAGTACGCAATGGGGAGGAGGAGGGAAGATGTTCAGAGGGAGGCAGAGAAGCAGAGAAGGTAGAAGAAGACAGGAGGATCTGCTCCAAACAAGCAAGTTACACCATTCACGCCACACGCAATGTATGAAACATGTTAGGAGAGTGTTAACTCACCCAGTGCACCATGCATAACTTACACTCTCCTTACCCCCAACACTGTTCTAGTTATCCACCCTCAAGAAAGGATGTACAGGTCTATAATAGTTGCTCCTATATATCAGGCACCAACATTCTTCCCTGCAAAACTAGGCATGTCTCTTCCTTTTACACCTATTATTTGTTTCTCCAAGAAATGTCTCCTTTACAGCTTGTGCTACAGCTCCTTTGAGTTGCTTATCTGGCACCCAGGCAAGTCCCTGCCCTGTACACTTCATAATCCCTTTTGGCAACCTTGCCCAGGAAGATGCTGAGTGCCCTCCTATAAGGTACTGAGCTTCCTCTCTTTGACTGTGGCAGTACCTTTCAGGAGCATCTCAGGATCCATCCCGTAGACACTGACAGACAAAGGGTGAAGGGTGGGGGAAGGGATTTGATTAAATGAGGTTTGACTTTTATTTGGCTCTGTACCTGTTCTGTATTGTTCTGCAACTATGTGCAACTATTTGGATTGTTTACATATTATCTGTCTCTTTTGGGTTTGTTTTTTTTTTTTTATGTTTGCATTTTAACTCTTGCCTATTCTCTATTTTCCTTGGTTATTTTTAACCCTTGACAGCAACTTCTTTTTTAAATTCTCTAGCAAAAGAATACCCCTTCCCGCACTCTGAGCCCTCACCTACCCTAAAGTTGGTGACCCTTCCTTCACACACCTTCCTGACAGGTATTGCATCCCCTTCCCAATTTTCCTTCAGGTCTCATTGTTGGCCAACCCCCCCCAGGGCTGTGTGTGCTTGGCACCAGTGGCCTTCAACAATTCACTTAGTTCTGGTTTTGCCATGAGCTGTGTTCTGTGCTACACCCAGCAGCAGCTGGGGTGGGCAGATCACTTTTAATTGACTGATTTGAGAGAATTAGGTAGGTCTCCTTCTGTAAAAGCTGCTGGTAGAGAGTAGTAGCAACTGAATGTCCTGGAATGAGTCCTTAGCACACTTGGCTATGGCCCAGTACAACAGATATCTGGCAGACCCATTCCCAGCCGCTCTGGTTCTGATGAGTATTAAGGCCCTTCTTATAGGTCATCACCAGCAGATTTGGTAGAATCAACTTTGCCAGCTCTAGGTGATGGAAGGCTGCTCTGTAATGGCTATAAAATATGTTGAAACTGCTGCTGAGCACACATAATTCCATGTCAGTCAGATACAGGACCTGAATATGAGGTGAAGTGTTATGTAGACTCCCAAACTATGTTTTTTTTTCTGTGTGCTATCCAAAATACTTTGAAAAGATAAATAGATTGGTTATTAAAATTTAAAGGTCTTTATTTAGAGCCCTTAAAAATTACATTTCTCAGTAATCTAGCTGGGCTCCTCTGTGAAGTGTAATTAGGCATTAGCAGCAAAGCAGATTAAATGGCAAGCTCTCCTAATGACCATTTAACATCCCTTAGCTGTTAAAACCGTAAAGTCTCTTTTCTACAGTGATACCCTAACTCTAGTAAACCTTAAAACACCAGGTTCACCCAAATACTAGTGAAGTGCCTAAAACTCCAGAAGTCAGGACTTTGTATTTCTTACTGTAGTAAATATTACTGAGAGGCCCGTAAAAGTGTGTGCACATCACAATATTTGCCTGACATTTGTTGTAAATGAATGCATTTCTTTAAATAACCTCAGGACTTTACCAAATCCTGGATTTTCTGTCCCCCTCAGCATTTACAACCTGTCATCCATCTTAATCTGAAATGCATAATACACATTTTAATTCTTAAATTTCACAAATTTATCACTTAAAGGCTGTTGGAAGACTGATAAATGCTTATCATTTCCTTTCAATAAATAATAATAATTAAAAAAAAAAAATTTGCAGGGTCATGGTGTGGTTACTCTTGGTACCCTGTTTTAAATATGGGAAAACACCATGATTTTGCCTGAAGTTCCAGAAGGATTCATTTGACAGCTGGAATTAGTTGGGATGTTGCTCATTCTCATTATTATTGAAAACCAGGCCTTCTTTCTGACGTAGACTGTGAGACATGCACACTTGCTATAAAATTTATGCTAGAATTGTCAGCCTTTTAGGTCTGCTGTTGCGACACCATTATGCACCATGTTATGTGCACAACAGTCCACTGAGTTTAAAATTTTCACTGGAATACTTTAGCAGCAGAGTTTCTCAGTGTCAGGGTTTTTTGCCAGCCACCTCAACCAAAACCACGCTGGTTCTCTTACAGCTGAGAGACTTTGCTCTTTAGAAAATAGGCAAAGAAATATGAGACATAGAGTTCAGTGGACTGGAGAAGCTGGCAGTATCTTCACCTAAGTATTTAAATTACTTTGGTTGCAGCCCTCTGAAATCATTGCACTGTCTTTCTTAGCAGTCTTAAGAGGTTTTTGGCATCTTTTCCCCTTTACCTGTGTGAATTCAGTGTCTTCACAGCATACTGTCTCAGACCAAGGGTTAGTCTAGGTTTTGATCCTGTTTCTGATTGAGGACAATAGTAATATTTAAAGAAAAAGGATTCTTAAAGGATATATAGTTTATTATAGTAGCCTCCAGCTTCTGAAAATTGGTAGTTTTGAGAGGCTTCCTGAACCAGGCAGTGTATCCACTTTCAGCTTTGATAATTTCTAGTAGATTAAATTTTCCCTGAACTTGTCTAAACCCCACCTTTTGAAGCCATTTTTACTTTCATCTGAACTAAAAATCAGTGAATCCTACACAATCATAAGCGAAGCAGTGCTTCCCATTGCACTTTGGAGTATAGAATCATTCCAGTGAGTTAGGTCACAAGAAGCCATGAACAGTTGTTCTTTATTTACTAATTATTTGTGGTAAACATTTACCATATCAACCATCAGCCATTGCTTTTTCAAACTGAAGAACCTGAGTCTCTGTAGCCTCTCCTCATAAGGAAGCCACCCCATGCCTCTCCTCCCCAGTGTTGCCGTTCTCTCTACCTTTCCTAGTTCTATTGTGTCCTCTTTAATTGGGGTGACCAGAACTGTCTATTTAAAATGTAAGAATAACATGAATTTGTGCAGTGCACAGTGCTTGCTATCTTAGATAGGTTTCCTGACATACCTAGTGTATCACTTCTGTCTTTATAATTTAGTATTTCCTCAGAGTATCCACTTCCCTATCCTCTCAAATTCCTCTCAAAAGTTGGGTGTGCCACTCCTTGCCTTGCTTACCTTTGTCTGCACAGTGTGGGATATCAGTCCTAAATCATTTTGTAAATTCCTTCCACTTCCAATTCTGCCCCTGTAACGAATGTGTAATTCACTGCCCTTAGTCCTTTACACACTCGTTTGTCTGCAGGTTTTTTACTCATGGAGTAATAATGTTTCTCTCTTCTCCTTTCTACATGCACAGGATGACAGCACTAGCCATAGTGACCATCAAGACCCCATTTCATTAGCTGTGGAAATGGCAGCGGTAAACCACACCATCTTGGCATTGGCCCGGCAAGGAGCCAACGAGATCAAGACAGAAGCTCTAGACGACGACTGATACAAAGAGAGGGGAGGGTCAAAGCAAGAAGTAACTTAGTTTTAGACGTAGCACCTTAGCAGACTTTCCTCAGTCCTTAATATGTGTTCTTACAGTATAACTTTGCAGTTTCTTGTACGTCAGTTAGCTGTTAGGGTCTTGTTCTGTGAAGATGGCATGGTGCCCTCAGCCTTTGCATATACTCTCTCAGTATTAATTCCCAGTAAATAATCAATCAACCAACCAACCTCCCTCTCCCAGCCCCAGTGGCTAGAAAAATCTTGCTGCTCTGTCTTAGCATTCAAAGTGCTTCCAGGTATTTTAGACAGCCCTCAATTACAAGTCTTAGGCTACACTTAAAACCTTGGATAACCTTAGAGATTGTGTTAAAAAAATAGTCTGTATGCTTTTCCTTCTCTGAGACTGAAAGGATGCAAGCTGAGGTAGTGGCACAGGGTCGATGGACACCAGATCGGGAGTATCACCAGAGAGTAAAAAGAACACTAGAAACCCCACTTCAGCATGGGAATAAATCATTTCCAGCTGCAATAAGCCGTGCCTCACTGGTCCTACAGTGACTTGATATACTTTTGGGTGCTGTGCTGAGAATGTCCATTGGAAACACATTCACGTATTTTGGTTGATGTTCACATATTCAACACAGACATCCTCTACTCTCACAAGCTACGTGGCTTAGTGGATAAGTACTGCCTTCTGCCTCTGGGACCATGATTGAAGCCCAGCCTGGGATCATATGAAAAATGAGCTGAATGTCTAATGGACAACAGTCCACTTCTCAAAACCACTATTCATTATTTGGCATGGCTAGCAGTGCCTGCTCAGAAGAGGTCTAGACTCTATTGATCTGTCATTAGCAATTTCACCTATTATTCTTCCTCTCACCTTTTCTGTCCCTACCCTACTCCCCTCTCCACTTTGCTGCTTTCAAAAGCAGTGTTTTCCAGGAAGGTTATTAAAGTCATAAAATGGGTGAGTGGATTTTTACACATCTGTGTAACTAATGCCTACATCCTGACTAGCCTGAAAGGTTCTTGGAGAACTTTTACATCTGATTTTTGCTAGGAAACCATCGTAGCATAAATATTCTCCTAATTACGAACTTTTTTTGTTTCTTTAAAGGCAGGAGGATCTCTTACCTGAGAAATGGGGTGTGAATGTTTTGTGTTCTCTTTACTCTGTCCTTGTTAAGATGTGAGAAAGCTATACGGCTACGAGCAATTTAATTAATAATTGGAAGCCATACTGATAATGGATGTGGTAATATTTTTAAAGCAAACGTACTTTAAGTAGCAGAAACTAACGGAATTGTTTTCCTTGATCATATGTAGCACTTTTGTTACTTTTTTCTTAAAGATATTTATATTTGATAAGTCTTTTTTTTATCATTTGAGAATTCAAAATACCAAACAGCAAACTTGCATTACAGAGTCACCCTGCAATCACCTTGTCATCTAGTATCTAAATGATGAACTGTGTGTGCATCTAAGAAAATTACATCTGCTAGCATTGTGTGGAAATGATCTCCTGGCATCCTGATAAAATGATATGCTGCTGCCGGTAAGAGGAAACATTTTGATGGAAACAGCATGGGAAGTGTTAGAGATGGGCACGACTGTGTTGCGTTAAAACTAAAAATTAAAAACCTGTGTAAATTTTTGTATGTAGATATATGAAAATTTGCATAGCGTTTCCTCAACATTCCATTTTTATCTTCCCAGTTTACGTGGGAATAGCTTAAAAAAAAGGAAAACAGCTCAGTCTGAAGGATGGGTTTCCCTTTTTTCCCCTCCACTTTTCAGGTGGGGGCAATGAAGGGAAGTTGCTGTTATTTGTCTTGTTCTCATCCATTCCTCACATTTAACTATCAGATAGCATTGTGAATTCTGAAAATGTGGCTCCTCAGCAGGTTTTTAGCCAGCTTACACCCTTCAAGGCATAGGCCAACTAGATCATCTTGACATCTGTGAATCTCATGAAAATTGCTTAGGTAAGTGTGGAGGAGATTTTGTACTTTCAGGGGGCACAGGGTTGGCATCTCTTTGCTCTGTAACTTTGAAGATGTGTAGGTAGGGCTTGGCCTCGTCTTTCGCTTACGGATTTCATTGGAAAATTTATGTGCTTTCCTTAGATATAGATCACTGAAGCAGAATGAAGCCATCTTTTTTTTTCTTTTTCCTGTTTATTGCATTTCTTGATTTGGCAAATTCATAAGTAGCATCAGGGCAGACTCAGGAAAGAAAGGAATTGGATCAGCAACCATTGCAGCAGTAAAGTTTTTTTCTTAACGTGTGTATGAATGTCTTGGTACTAAAGAGTGAAAGGACGGGGAGAGCTTTTATTTCTATTTTTTGCACAGCAGAATGATCAAGCAAACTATAGCCTTTGTGGAATTTTACCTACTTACTCATTCCACAGTCACACACCAAGCTGACAAGCAACATCCACGATTTATAGTGAGGAGATTTTAATAATCGATGACCTCTTTACGCTGGGCTTGCCACCACCATTTGTTCTGGCTGTTTCATTTTAAAAAGAACAGACTCAAACTGTTGGACAGCTGTAATTTTAAAAGAAATATTGCTTACTATACCATCTTAAAAAAAGTCATTGTTTCAAGCATTGCCTTTTTAAAGCAATAGAGAAGAATAAAAGTACTAGAACTTCTATACCCTGATTATAGGTTCATGGGATGCAGGATCAAAGTGACACCATTAAAATTGTATGTCTGTGCCACCTAATACAGAATAATCTCGTCTTAATTCTGTTTGTCCCTGTCAGGTAGCTGCTGGTCTCATCACACATCAATATCCTATCAGAAGGTTAAACAGTTAAACCCCTTGTGAATGACCGGAGATTGGCAGATCCTCCCTGTCTGTAGCTTCCTGGTAAATACCTGTTTTCTGCTTTCCCACAGCATCTTCTCACCAGAGAAAATAACAAATGGCTTAACTAGGGAATCAGACAGTTCCATGTGTCAGTGTCTGGGTTGGCCCTGTCTGTTTTGGCTTTTCTTCAACCATTGAGAGGTACGAGGAAGGTGTAAGATTTCAGACATTACCAGGGTGCTTATGGCAGTTTGTTTCCTTGATTCTGAACAATTTCCTGTTGGCTGGTGGCTTTTTAGTTTCTCATGAGTTAGCTAGAACAGAACAGATGTTGTGGTGGTGGTATCAGGAGAAGTGTACATGATCTGGAGTGAGTGAACTGGTGGAGAGTGTGTCCTGGAATTCAGTGCTTGTTTTAGTGTTTTTCCCACGATATGGGACTGTTGGTTTTCCATCTCTGGATTTTCTTGAAAAATTAGGTCTCATTATTGTAGTTTTTCAATTCAGTTGGAATTTGTTGTAGCCAATCTGGAATTACTGCAGTTTGTTCTCATGTCAGTTCCCTTGAAGTGGATCTGGTGGCAGACTAGATTTACCTTATTGTTCTGTGAATAGAGAAGAAATTATTTAAGATGCTTCTCTTCTGTGATGGGCAGAGATTGCTTATAGTTTTGTAGAATAAGTTGTAGCTGTTATTTTGTCACTCATGAAGTCCTTATACTTGAGTTATTGTCTCTTACTGTCTTCTTAAGACAACAATTTCTACCTCCACTTCTTTTTCAGGTTGTTTTGGGGTTGGTTTGTTTTTTTTTTCAGTTTTTGGGTTTTGTTGGTTTTTTTTCCTGAGGATATGAGATCCCAGACGCTTGCAAAAGCAGTATGAGTTGATAAAAATAAGTCGACATAGGGGCGAGCAGGCATGTTATCCATTGATCGTGTAACACACTGTCTTGAGTTACAGATACATTTTCTAAATACTCTATAATCATGCGTGGTGTTCCAGCATAATCCTGTTACTCCCGTGTTGGATGTGAGCAAGTTGGTTGTGTGTCAGCAGTACCCCTTTGCAGGTCACTGAGAAGAGTCTTCAGCAGGTCAAGGAAAGTCCCCTCTGTTCATTACTAGTGTGACATCTGAAGTATTGTGTGCAGAGTTGGGCAGGAGTGAGTCCACCGTAGGGCTGCTGAGGTGAGAGGGTCAGAGCATATGTCATGTGGTGAGAGACTGCAAGAGCTGGCGTTCGGGCTGGCTCTGGAAGCATCCTCTGTTTCATTCTTCATCTTTCCTAATGGGTGGTTTTAGAGAAGACATAGCCAGGCCCTTCTCAGAGGTGCATAGGAACAAGGTGTGGAGCAGTGAGCTAAAGTTGGATTAAAGAAAATCCCAAGTGAACATGAAGAAAATTTTTTTTCCATGCTTAAAGTGGGGCAGTAGTGGCCCAGAAAGGCAGTGAATATCCCAGCCTTTAGGATATTCAAAACTGGACAAAGTTGAATTAGAGACCTCTAGAGGTCTCTTCTGGTTTCAGTTACTCTATGATTCAGTACAAATCTGCTCAGGTTGAGGTGTTTCTTAGTTCTGATCTGTTAGTATTGACTTATTTAAAGAAATTCTCTCAATTTGTTGGGTTTTGTTTTGGTGTTTGATTTTTTGTTTGACTTTTTTTCTTGTTTGATTGGTTGGGGTTTTTTTCTCTTTTGCTATTCATAAAAAGTTCTCTTTCCTACTTTTCTAATAGAGGGGAGCTTTATTTGCAGGGTCTGGCTCCAGGCTCCAATCAAGCCATAAGAAATAAATGTCATTAATTGTTTCCTCTGTTTACACAGTTTTTCAGGGATATTTGAATTACTCTGTTTGTTTCATTGCCTAACTTCAGACTGGTAAGTTTTCCATGTTTTAGTAACATTTGTTCTGTAGATCAGATTTTGCCTTCTTTGTGGGAATTTATTGTTGTCTTACTCTTGTGAGTACAGGTGAAAAATTTCACATAGCTGAACTTGTTAGAGGGAAAACTGTGATTAACTTAAGCCCACTGGTGACTACTATGATAAGCTAGGTTTTGGTTCAGTAAATCATGAAGTGGTGATTATCAGAAGCTGAAAGGGTCTGACTAGGAAAGAGTCATGTCCTCACTGAGATCTTCCTTTTCTTACCTTAAGTGTTTGCTACTGGCCGCCACTTGGAAAAAACCCACGCTTAACTTCAGGTCTGGTTTGGATGTCAATTTGAAGAGCAATAGTAATGGTGTTTGTCAGTATGGACTGGGATGGGGTCAATTAGATACCCGAGTGTTAATTGCTGACTTGAAGGTGCCTAAGAACATGACGATGAGTTCACCAAAATTTTGACTTCCCTTATGTGATAGAAAAATTTTCCTCCACAGTGAAGTGCTGCTTGCAAAGAAGTACAGTGAAAGCGTTGCGCTGGTCTTTCGCCAGAGCAGTTGAGTCACCGAGACATCTGGTAGTTGTAAAGGGGTTTTGTAAGGAAACAGGTTTTATTTTTTGTGTAGACAAAACGAGCAACATTGGTATAAGAGTTCTGAACACTCAAAATTGCTGCTCCTAAAGTACGTTATAGAATCATGGAATAATAGAATAGTTAGTTGGAAAGGCCTGTTAAGAACATCAAGCTCCAACCATCCTGCCATGGGCAGGGACACTTCACACTAAACCATGTCACCCGAGGCTCTGTCCAGCCTGGCCTTGAACACCTCCAGGAATGGAGCATTCACAACTTCCCTGGGCAACCTATTCCAGTGCCTCACCACCCTCACAGTAAAGAACTTCCTCCTTATATCCAGTCTAAACTTCCCCTGTTTAAGTTTGAACCCGATACCCCTTGTCCTATCACTGCAGTCCCTACTGAATAGTCCCTCCCCAGCATCCTTATAGGCCCCCTTGAGATACTGGAAGGCTGCTATGAGGTCTGCACACAACCTTCTCTTGTCCAGGCTGAATAGCCCCAACTTTCTCAGCCTGTTTTCATACGGGAGGCTCTCCAGCCCCCTGATCATCCTTGTGGCCCTCCTCTGGAATTGTTCGAACAGTTCCATGTCCTTTTTGTGTTGAGGACACCAGAACTGCACACAGTACTCCAGGTGAGATCTCACGAGAGCAGAGTAGAGGGGCAGGATCACCTCCCTCGACCTTTTGATGCAGCGCAGGATACGGTTGGCTTTCTGGGCTGCGAGCGTGCAATGAAGCTGGCTCATGTTCTTTTTCTTATTGACCAACACTCCCAAGTCCTTCTCTGCAGGGCTGCTCTGAATCTCTTCTCTGCCCAACCTGTAGCTGTGCTTGGAATTGCTCCAACCCCATTGTAGGACCTTGCACTTGGCTTGGTTAAGTATGCAGGATGTTGTTTGCCTGGGTGTGATCTTCACTCAAATGCAATGCTGGATCCTCACCTGTCTCTGCAGATTACTAAGATTCAGTGTGACATTTTGCCCTTAGTATGAGGCCTGTGGATGTTTAATAGAAGGTTTCCCCCACTCCTTTATCCCTGTAATTCTTCTCATTTTAGATAATAATTTTTTTCTCAGAAGGTTTATAGTCTTCCTTCCACCCCAGCTACATCATTGTGTAGCCCTCACCCCCCCAGTGTTCATCAGCTTCTTTTAAGTTCATTGAGTAATTACCAGCAAATTGTAGGGATTGCTTTTGTCAAAATAATCTTTGCTCTTATTTTAGACAAAGCTTCCCACCCAAGTAGCTCTTGCACTCTTTGAAGTTATTTAACTTGATAATACTATTTTGATCAAAGTCTTAAGCTTGTAGGCAATAATCTTGAGTTTGGTGTAGCTTTTTTCATTTGGCAGGAATCTT